ATTTAGGTTAAAAAATAAGTTTAAAGTAGCTAGGGGGTTAGAAAATATTTTTTGAAACCTTGGGTTTATTAAGAAATAAAATCTAAAAATAGAGGATATGGAGATATTTTCCCCAAAAAAAAAAAAGAGAAAGCACACTTACATCTGCTTTGCATAACTGGAGGAGTTAGTAGACGCTTGTTCCTAAAGATCATGTATCCGACTTGTAAGAACATCATCGTTATTATGGCCCCAAACCCAATTATGGAAATAAATAGGATGCCAAGTTAATGAGGCCAATAATGCCCTATTTGACTATGGACATATAAATAATATTTTAAATGGGATTTCTAATTTTGTTTTATATTTAATGCTTTTGACCTAGATTAATGCTTCAAATTTAATGTTTTTTTACCTAGATTAAAAAAAATCATTATTTCTTTCGTCTTTTGACAAAGGAGAGCCTCCTTTTTCTTTCTTTTTTGTTTTCTTTTTTTAATTTGCAATCCGACCCACCAGAACCTCTGAGGTAGGGACCAACCAGGACCTCTGAGGTAGGGTCCATTCCTAACAATTGCCTCTCATTCATCAGCTGGGATGGTGATTACAGTCATGCATGCCCTTTCCTTGCAATCGCATGTTGCACAATAATAAAAACAAAGAAAATTAGCAACCAGTACGCATATAAAAACACTTCATACATCAAAGAATAGTAGGACTCACTACAAGTTCAGATGGTAAATATATGTTGAGTCACAATTTTTTTTTTTTTTTTAATATAGTAGGACTCACTACAAGTTCAGAATAGTAGGACTCCCAACTTCATAGAAAGACTGACCAAATGCTCATAAAACATGACCAAACTCTAAACCTCATAGAAGTTGCAGCACCAACAACTCATAATTGCCATTGCCAACTATGCCAACTAGAAACACCTTGAAATGCCTATTCCTCTTCAATTCCTTGGACCGAGTTCCAAGAAACCAAAGAGGGGGAAATCAAGGAACCAAGACAAATGAAGAGAAATTAACCGCGAATGGCCTAATAAATGGAATTTTAGGCTCAAGAAAAAACGCAGAAGCGCAAAAAAACCCACAACAGAGCCTCAAACCCCAGATGAAGGGAAAATCTCATCTTAAGCACTGACCTTTGCAGAGGAGATGAGAGTCGAGGAAAATAGTGTTGGATTTGGTGCTATCGAAAACCACCAACATAAGGAAATCCCATATTTTGTGGGATTGAGATATTCGCATATTATGTGAGATTGAGATTGAAATTTGATGAGTTTCGTAAAGGAAATAGAAATCCAAAAAGATTATGAATTTTGGATATCTCTCTTGGTTTTGAGATATATGTAAGATCTATATGAAGTTTCCTATTTAATATGGACTTCTAATCTTATATATAAGGGATGAAAGTTCAGAGAATTTGTCTGCCCTATTTGGGTCACCTTATGGGAATGATGGTTCCTCTAGAGAGAGTGAGATAGAGCTTCATGTGCATAAGATGCAATTTCATCTTAAAAAGAAGAGAGCTTCCTATAAAGAGAAACATTGATGATACCTCCTGAAGACTTCTGCATAGTGAGAGGGTAGTTTTTTGTAGAGAAGCGGTTCCTGTAAAGATTTTGGGTTGTTTCCCTCTTAGTAAGAGAGAAAATTGTTGTCATTATTGGCAAAAGCAAAGAGAAAGAATGAACAGTTGTTCAAAAGGGTTTGCTCGACTTGGATATTTTGTCGAGGTTTGTTCCAAAATATTTGATGTAATTTTCATTAGTATAGTGGTTTTTTGTTAGCCATGCCCTTGGATGTAGCCCTTTTGGAGTGAACTAGTATCCTTGTGATATGTGTTTCATATTTTATTTCTCATACTTTATTTGCCAAAAAATCAACTTGTCAACTTCCGCGCACAACAAGTGTTATCGAAGCCCGGTTTTGGGATTTCAGTATGGCAGTAAAGGTTTTGAATGTAAAGTTCGTGGTGGAGAAATTTGATGGAAGAGTTATTTTTCAGCAAAATGATGAAAAAATTTATTTGGCAGAAAATGAAGAATTTATGAAGCTATCCAATAGATATTGGCATGGTGAGCAAGTGATTTTGATATCAAGGTGGAGATTATTGGATTCGGCGTTATTCAAAATCACTAACATAAAGAAATCTCATATTTTGTGAGATTGAGATATTCTAATATTATGTGGGATTGAGAATGATATTTGATAAGTTTCTTGAAGGAAATAGAAATCCAAAAAGATTTGGACTCTTGGATATATCTTTTGGTTTTGAGATATATGTAAGATCCATAGGAAGTTTCCTATTTAATATGGACTCCTAATCTTGTATATATCGGATTAAAGTGCAGAGAATTTGTGAGTCCTATTTGGATCACCATATGGGAATGGTGGTTACTCTAGAAAGAGAGTGAGATAGAGCCTCCTGTGCATAAGACGCGATTTCCTCTTAAAAATAAGAGAGCTTCCTATGACGAGAATTATTAATGATGCTCATGAGAACTCCTGCAGAGTGAGAGGTTGGTTTCTTGCAGAGAAGCAGTTCCCATGGAGATTTTGGGTTGTTTTCCTTTTAGTAAGAGAGAAAAGTGTCGATATTGCCAGAATTAGAGAGAAGGAATGGAGAGTTATTTGAAAGGGTTTGCTCGACTTGGATACTTTGTCAATGTCTGTTCCAACATTTTTGATGTAATTTTCATTAATATAATGGATTTCTATTTATTGTGCCCATAGATGTAGCCCTTTTGGGATGAACCAGTATTCTAGTGATATGTATTTTGTACTTTATTTCTCTTACTTTATTTGCCAAAAAATCAACACGTCAACTTCCACACGCAACAACTACTATCAGAGCCCAGTTTGGGGTTTTTGGTATTACAGTAAAGGTTTTGAATGTAAAGTTTGAGGTGGAGAAATTTAATGGAAACTACTATTTTTCAACAAAAATGATGAAGAAATTTATTTGGCAAAAGATGAAGAATTTATGAAGCTATCCAATAGATATTGGCATGGTGAGCAGATGATTTTGATAACAAGGTGAAGATTGTTGGATTGGTGCTATCCAAAATCATCAACATATTTTGTGGGATTGAGATAATTTCATATTATGTGGGATTGATATTGATATTTGATAAGTTTCTTAAAGGAAATAGAAATCCAAAACGATTCGAACTGTTGGATATATCTATTGGTTTTGAGATATATGTAAGATCTATAAGAAGTTTCCTATTTAATATAGATTCCTAATCGTACATATATTGAATGAAAGTGCAGAGAATTTGTGTGCCCTATTTGGGTCACCATATGAGAATGGTGGTTCCTCTAGAGAGAGAGTGAGATAGAGCCTCTTGTATATAAGATGCAATTTCCTCTTAGAAAGAAGAGAGTTTCCTATTAAGAGAAATATTGATGATGCCTCCTGAAGACTCCTGTAGAGTGAGAGGTTAGTTTCTTATAGAGAAACGGTTCCCATGGAGATTTTGGGTTGTTTTCTTATTATTAAGAGAGAAAAGTGTTGTCGATATTACCTTTAGTATAGAGAAGGAATAGATAGTTTTTTAAAAGGGTTTGCTCGACTTGGATAGTTTGTCAAGGTTTGTTCCAAAATCTTTGACGTAATTTTTATTGGCATAGTAGATTTATGTTTGTCGTGCCCGTAGATGTAGCTCTTTTAGCGTGAACCAATATTCTTGTGATATATGTTACGTACTTTATTTGCCAAAAAATCAACGCATCGGGTTTAAAGAGCTTCCTCGCACAACAAATAGCTGGTGGTCAGAGGAAAATGTTGATCTTGGATTAAGGGTAAAGGAAAGAGAGGGATGAAGTGAAGAGATGAAAGGAAAGAAATGAGAAAGAGGGGAGAGAGAGAGAGAGGCAATAGAAAGAAAAGGAAAAAAACAAATCTGACCTTAAAATTAATGGGGACTCAAAATAGAGGCAAACAAAAAGCAGGCTGGAGATTGAAATCTCATATCAAAGAGACAGGGAAGCATGGGGACTAGGGCAGGAAGACCAGGCCCAGGCTTGTCCTGTTGCCCGCCTAAGAATTGGAATTAAAAGGGAGTGGATGGCCAAGACTTTGTAGGAAGCTTCTAAGATTAGTTCTCGCTTAAATAAGGGTTTTATGGCTAAACTACTGAAAATCCTTAATGTTAAATTTAGAATGTAGTGTGAACTATTAAATTACTTTGATTGCCTCTTATTTTATTCCATGCAGATAAAATGAGCTTCGTCATTTTTGTTATTTGAAAAGTGTATGATTGATTTTTTATTTTTATTTTTATTTTTTTTTAAGTGGAATTATGGTACTTTTTAAATTTAAACAACTTTACCTTCTAGTAAAAGGTTCGAAAATGACTTCAACAACAGTCATAAGCGCCGATTGTCTTTTACTAAAAGATTCGGCTATACTGTTTAATTACATAAACAGTATTAGATTTTAGTCTTTTTATAGGCATGGGATAAAATAAGAAACAACTATAGTAATTTAATGGTTCATATCCATTTAGAATTGTAATGCGTTTCGGATTTTGAGGGGCTTAAAACATATGAAAACGAAAATAACAAGCTTTTCCTCATGTGATGGTTTATGGTGATTCTAACTTTTAATTTCGAGAGATCAAAAGTTCATAAATTCTTAAGGTAGAATTATATCTTCTTGGACGTATTCTTTTCCCATTTGTCATCTTCATTTACGCTTGTTCTTATCTTGAGATTAGACAACTTGTGGTATTGATTTCTAAAGATGCATTATTTCAACTTGCATAAGCATTAGGATCAAAATACTTTTTCATAAAACAAAAACCAAAAACGCTTCAGAAGAAGAAGATTCAAAATTGGCATTGTTGAGACACACAGCACGCGTACAAAGAACAATTGTGCAAAATTAGCGATATACAAACAAAACCACCATGTACACACCAGAGACTAAAGCACATCAGAGTCCAGAGAGATATAAGTCTTATTTTTATTAATGAGATACACTGTTAAAAAGATGATCAACCTTCTCTCTCTCTACTCTTGTCAAACCGACAGCTAAACATTTACTTTAACCTGACAACTACCAAGACTTATCACGAGCAACGATGGCAGTCAATAAACTACTTAATATAACTGAGCACCGAATACACAGTTTGAAGCAATGTTAGACACAGCAGGAGCCCCGCTGCCAGCAACGCTATAACCGTCCATGGGTCGCGAAGGTAGGTGTTGACGAAGCGAGCCCTCCACAAATTCTGACGCCTCTTGCAGTGGCGGATCAGCCGCGTCCGCACCCCCTTTAGGTTGGAATTCTCAAAAAAGGCCATTCCCTTAGTGACCCGATTGAAGAGCTCAGCCACCTCTTGGTCACTTTCCATCCTATTCTCTATTATGCCTGAATCTACTAGCAGTTGGACATCTTTGGCTGTGTCTATCAGATTATCCATCAATTTAACGACTGAGCTTATTGGATTATCCATGTCCACATGCAACTGCTCAAATGCCATCACATTCAATAGAAAGGTTTCCTGTTCCAAATGCCATAAAAAGTTAAAACAAATAAGGATCGACCCAAGTTTTTCCTTTTCTTTTATTTATTTATTTATTTATTTATATATATATATATATATATATATATAACTTCTCTATTTTTAGCCCGAAATGGATTTCAATAGTATACAAATTTTAAAAAAATTATTTTCATTTTTCAGCATTTTCTTTTCTTTCAACTTGGGCGAGTCTAATCAACACGCGTGAGTTTGCACTTGCATTCCCAAGAGGTCTAAAAATCCTTAAAGCTTGGAAAAAAATGGATTCTGAAAAATCAAATAAAATATGAATCATAAAATGGATAGAGAGCATGGAATATTAAATGAATTTAAATTCAATCAATATTGTTTGTAAACTAATTTATGTATGGACAAAAAATAGAAAAATACAAAATGGGACAATTTTGGATGAAAATTAGTCAGTCAACCCATATTTTTTATTTTTTAAAAAATTACCTTTCGGTCCAATGATAGTATCCTCAAACCACTTTTTAATTATTATTATTTTTTGTCTGTTTCGTTAGTAGGACAGTGTTTTAGTGTGAGGGGCAGTGCCAGTCTACAAGGTAGTTTAAGGTTGGCATCCTCAGACCAGCTTATTTCTTAACAAATAAATGAGATAATGTGGTCCAAAGATGATAACCTCGGGCCCTCTTAAAGAGAACCAAAGAAGTCGGTCCGAGGATGCCAACCTCAAACCACCGTGAAGAGCAGTAGAAAAGGCGGTCTGAGAATGGGCAGCACAGACCACCTTTGAATGCTTAAAAAAGTAAGTCTTTCTGGTCCGAGGAAGCCAACCTTGGAACACTTTGAAATGCACCAAAAAAGGCGGTCTCATGATGCTATCATGAGACCGACGGAGCACTACCATAGACATTAGGGCACAACCCTACTATCGAAAAACTAAAAAAAACAAAAAATTTGCTGTCCGAGGATGCTATCTTTCTACCGAGGAGAAATTTTGAAAAAAATAAAAAAACTCAGGTTGATCAACCTTGAACGTAATTTTACCCCAAAATTGGACTCATTTCGTATTTTAATAATTTTTGTTGTCTGTACATAATTCACGCTTGTTTGTATGAATTGACTTTGACAAAATTATATTTTATCCCAAATTTGAATACTTATACTTCGGTCTTTGCACCTGCTGCAATGCCTGTAATCATGGTTTGAAAACAAATTGATTTGTGATTTGAATCACCCATCCCGAAGACTAGGTCGGATCGGTGGATCAACAATTCAGATTGGAGGATCGGGCAAATCGACAAGATCTGACGTTACAAAAATTTCAAAAAATAACCAAAATTCTTAAATTATAGTCTACTAGCTTTTTTTTTTTAGAAAAAGAAGTTTTATTGCATTACAGTTTTTAATTATTTTTATTGAAAATACACATGTATTGAGAACCTATCTCATGTCTGAGTGTTTGTTATCCATTACAGTCACTTTATAGTCAAATGAAATTTAAAATGCAGCTTATTTCAATAAAATGGATCTCTCTAACTCAAATCTATTGTGAGAAAAAGAGGAAATGTAAAATAGTTTCAGATCAAATATATAGACCCTTACAACTATATAGACCTAATGAGTAATAATTAGTTTGTGTAAAAATATAGCGTTTAGAACCATGAACTTGTAATCTTGCTTTAATAAAATTAGAAAAATAGATAGATAAATTCATACATATGATATGGAATAATGGATAAAGCAACTTGAAAATAAATTTTAAAGTAGATGTATGGAGTAAACGTGCCCATGCCCGATGTAGTTTTCCGTTTTTCTTTTAAAATATCCCATGAATAAGTATTATATTTTTAAAAAAAAGATCCTAAAAAGTAATATAAGTTTTTACTTTTAAATATCCAATGAGTTAATATTATTTTTTCTTTTCTAAAGATCCCAACACAATGATATGTTTAGCCAAAAATACTTTGCAAGTGTTTATTTTATATATATATATATATAGATACTACAAAAAGCCTATTGGAGAAAATGAATAGTGATTCCGTCTACTCTCGTCACCATCCAAACTTCATCACACAGTCACAGTTGTCCAGTAGTGTTTCAATTTTCAACACACGCAATTCAAGCGCAAAGTGCATTGGTTTGTTGCGCGTAATTATGACGGGTGGTGTACACTTATGTGCTGTAAGATTTGCCCCATGTTCCCCCAACATGTACGTATGATGTGCCACATAAGTGCCCTCCATACATAGTCTTGTGTACTTGCGCACCTCACGCACTCAACTCAACGTGCACGATTCATGTGCAAAGCGTCTAGTTTGTTGCATGCAATTATGACGGGTGGTGCGTACTTTATGAACCGTATGAATTGCCCCATGTTTCTCCAAACACGTAAGTACCCTCCGTAAGCAGTCTTGAATAATTGCGCACCACATGCACTCAACTCAATGTTCGCGATTCGTGAGCAATGCGTACCAGTTTGTTTCACACAATTATGGTAAGTGTTAATTATACATAATTACAAAATAAAATTCCATATAAACTTACAAAAAATAGATTATACATGAAAAGAGTTGGCCCTCTACTAAGAAAGTACATATAACAAATTTCATAGTTGGCTCTCCATTATGTAATTTTAATTATGTCAATATGATCACATGAAAATTACATTAATATTATTATGTTAAATGAATATAAATATATAAAAAATATAAACTTATTTATAAAATTATGTTAAAATTGTTGTTGCTATATTGAAATTTTTATTTACTTTAGATTGTAATTTTAAATTAATATACTTATAAATTTAATAAATAATAACAAATACCTTATTTCTTTTTTATAATATACAAAAATAAAGTACATATAATTAAGTTTTAATTCAATATAATTACAATAACAAAATTGCATATAATAATTACAAAAATTAACATAATTATGTGAAATTCTTATTTATAATTATGTTAAACTTATGTCAATATAATTATTTCTATATACATTAAAAATATTTTTAAGTTATATGGAAGTGTTTTCTAATATTTTTCAATTATTTTGATGCAATATTATAATTCTATATTTTAATTTATAATTATACAAATATCCAGAAAGAAAAACAGCTTCTAAAAATTTACCTATTTTTACAACGTAATGAAAGTACATAATGCACCACTCCTAATTTATTTTAGAAATCAAAAAAACATTATTTTTAGAGAATTACAATGATTTTTTGAAAAAAATTTGAAAAAAAAATTGCCGATTCTTCAAACCAATCTACCGATTCGACACGGGTCCGGATGTGAATGATTCGGGTCTCGGATAACCATTTAGCATTAAGAGTTACCAAAAATCTTTTAATAAATTTGTTCGTCGCAGCTGTACGGATTAAAAGATTGACATCCTACAGAATTCCTCTCAATAACCAAAAACAATCTAGCCCTTTTTCAAGAGGGTACAAACTTTAATGGAAAATTGTTAGAAAATTTATATTTTATTAAAAAATTTATCTTTATTGAAAACATTATCAAAAGAATGCATAATTTAGATATTTAATGTTCTTGCCCTTCTCTAGCCTTTGAAATTCAACCAAAAAACCTGTAAAATGTTAAATAGCCATCCTTATGATTGTGTTAACGAATACAAACCTCAGATGGGGTAATGACAACATAGGGTAGCTTCAGCACCCCGCCGTCGAAACTGAAGTCCATGCTGCCATCGCTCGGGCTCACTTGGAACCTTACCCCTGCGTCATGTAGCGCCGTGGCTGATGGTACCTTCTTGTGATAAGGCTCCGCGTTTTTTAGCCCCTCTTCCACTTCAGGAATGTCGCCCCACGGCGTCGTCATTTGGTAAACATGAAGCAGATGCATCCCCCTCTTGTCCTGCATCGAAGTGTACTTATCACTCCAATAGAGCTCATACGCCACCTTATGCGCCTCGACGGCCTGGGAGCGTTCCCCCAAGGGGTCCAACAAAGTCTGCAAGACCAGCAACGGGATTTGGTTTTCCAACAGCACCAGGTCGTGAGTCTTGTTGTCCGCAAAGAAATCCGCCCTATTGGGGCCGAACACCGGGTCATCGTCTGTGTAGCCTGATGTGTCCTCATCTGAGGTGGTGCGGTGGAGTTCAAGCAAGAAGCAGCCGTCAAGCAGCATCATGTTAAGGAAGTCAGGGCTCTCCATTACGGGCAGCTCATCAGGCCACTCATAGCAGGCCCTGAGCTTCCGCTCCACAGCTTCGAGGGCCTTGAGGTAGACGTCGGGCGAGTGTTTCGAGCGATCAAGGAAGTGGAGGAGTGCACGACGCTTGTGGTGCTCCATGGGTTGAAGGTGAGGGCTGCCGTGGTGCAGTGGACCCAGCGAAACAAGCCTGGGAGCGAAGGACCCTTCATGGAAGTCATGGAGGTAGGACGGGATTTTGTAAATACAACAATGTGTCCATTCCTCCGCCTCTTCCTCTCGGTTTAATTTGACATTCCCATTCACTACATCAATAACCCATTGCCTGTCCGATTGCTCCCTGCCTTGCATATTTGTAATCTGACAGTGTTAAGGTAGAGCTGGAGAGGCTCCACTTAATCGATATACAGGTGGACTCTCAGATCACGCATGAAGCGTATAACAATGATGAGAAGAATCGGGATATTCTTATAGGAGGTCTGCCGTAGCTTTAGCTTAATTTCTTAAGAATATTCAATAACATGAAAACAAATAAAACATTTGACTACAAACGGTTCCTCTTAAATTATATTTTTATTCTTAATTATAAAATTTAAAGTTTTAAAAATAGTATAGATGGAACATATCTATGAGAATTTGAAAATTTTGAGAATCGACAGTTCCAAAATGCTTTACAATATGCACTATTTCCAAAATGTCAAATCTATTTTTTCTTATATCCATGCACTTTGATGTTCAGATGATCAATTTGAGGATATTTTGGCACCAAAACAACCTCTTCTAGTGTAAGTTTTGAGGTAGGCTCTAATTTGATTGTTTAGAGCCTCGACTATATATAAGCTTTTCCTTTTTAACCTATCTTTTTTTTATATCTAATTCCCAAAGGGTAAAATGTTAGATGGTTCATATAGTAACTACAAAAGGATAAATTTTTCCTTTTCTTTTCCACTCATGCGTTCAGGTAACGTCCAATAGTGTCATCAGATGGTACAGGTGATGAGATAATATTTCAATTTTTAGGGGGTGATATCTGATAATTATCTTTAAAATGAAATTTTATTGTTGAAAGAATTAACTTAAACTTTCTGAGAGGCTTCTGTACTAGCATCTAGACAGATAAATTCTATGCTTTCTAGTTTTGGTAAGATCACTGGACAGAAACTGAATGTAACTAAAAAGTAAGATTTTTTTCTTTGGGGTTTTGATGAGTACCAAACACTTGATCTTGAAGGAATTGGGGTTTGGAGAGGGTTCACTACAGGTAAGGTACTTGGGATTGCCGTTGTTTCGTGGCAACCTGATGCATTACAATTGCCAAAGCTTGGTGGGGAAGTTCATTGGCAGGATAGGAATATGGCAGGCTCTTTCTCTTTTCTATGCAGGTCGATTACAATTACTGAGGTCGATTCTAGGTTTATAAGCCATTTTCTTGATTCTATCCTTTGTGCATATGCAATATATAAGAGATGCTTCAAAGGAACTTTTTAAATTGCTCTAAATACTTAGGCCTAACAGTCCAAAATTTGGATGGTCTCTAGTTCTATTCCATCTTACGATATTTTCTCAATCACGTGTAGACTGTATCTGTCGGTTTTTTATTTTATTTTCAAACCCATTAATGACCCTAGAATTAGAATGAGCATATGCGAGTAGAGGACGAGTTTATTTTTCATAGATAGACCATTTGTAGGGAAATAACAAGAGCGAGGCCAATGAAGTGATGCCAATGATTAAATTCATTTCCGAGTTGAAAAAATTCAGTTTTTCTTGATCTTTTGGATATAAAGACTGGATTCTTGTGGTTTAAAAGCTAGAAAATGTTGCATTCCTTGTCATTACCAGAACGTTTGTGCCCCCTTACTCTGCATCTCGGCACTATTTCGATAGCTCATCTTTAAATTTTGTAACTAGCTAAATGTCTTATTATATAGAACTAGGTTTGTACTACTATTGACCGTTGAAATATTACGCGTAGAACATGGCAAAGTTGGTGAAATATGAGAGTAAGTAATATTGTTCTCGCGTAAAAGATGACATAGCATGTGACGTATGAGAATTGAAAAAGATAGTTCATGTGCATATGCTGCCTGTCCAAATATTCACTACAAAAATCGTGGTGGACAGCTGTTAGGTTCTTCCTGCGTTGCATAAAAAATGTGTATGGTTAATTTAATGAAAAATTTATGGCAAAGTAGTTCATAAATGTGTCTATGGTGACTAATTTAACTTATAACAATGGGTTGACTTGTTCGTATTTGTTATTACGAACTAATTACGGACTAAGATGTCATTAAAAATCCTAGAAATGGTTGATGGGCCACAAAATATATATGTACACCATCTATCATACTCATTTTATCCACTTATAATAAACCGGCAACCACGCAACTCCTTAATTTCTGAATTTATGCATCGTGACTTTGCTATAACACAAATTTTATATCCTGAATTCAAGTCATGGCCGGCTAGAATTGAATGGCTACTAGCGGAATCCATGTGTTCTACATGTGATTTAATTTATTTTAAATTAACTTAGAAGGCTTTAAAATAAGGGTGTGGTTAGTAAGGTTGTAACCTTAAACCATCAAAGTAAATTGTACATCAAATGTTATCATAAGATGTAATTTTTGCATAAAAATTCATACGAGATACTGAGAATCTATTTTCATCTGTAATTGTAAAATTTTAGACTAAAGAATTGTTGCAAATCAAGTATATCTATGAACAAATGAAAATATCGAACATGGACGGTCGAGATAATATGCTGCAAGATGCACTATTTTTAGAATTCAAAATCTATTTTCTTTCATATTCATACATCTCGATGTGGAGATAATTGATTAGAGGATTTTCCAACTCCAAAATACTTTTTTACAATTGATGTTTTAAGTGCACCTTAATTCTACATTTTAATAGTGTTATGTTTATGGTGCTGATTTATTGTATTGCCAACTCAATTTTTGTAATGAGTTTAGGCGTCAACCATAAGTGGCTCTAGAGATACCTAGGGAATGGTAATAGTGAAAATTTTCTACTATAAGAACATGTAGGAACAACTTATGTAACTTATATTGAGTTAGAAAAAATGTAACTTAGTAAATTGATAAGTTGATATTATATTTATAAAAAAATAAATAATTGATTAACATTTAAAGTTGACATTCAATTAATATTAATATTAAGTTAACTATTCTATAGAACAGTAAAACATGCCATTTTTGTGGTGGCACTGTATTGTGTTACTCGCATAACTTGTGTTATCATTTTAAAGAAGTACTAATCTTAACTAAATCATTGCTTCAAGCAATACAAAGCGTCATTTTTGTGGTGGCCCTATGTTGTGCTACCTACTCGACTCATGAGTTTCATTTTAAAAAAATTAATATGAATGTAGAATATATTTAAACTGGACATATTGTTTCATTATAAAGTATAAAAGGTCATGTTCATTAGATTGCTTAAAAATATTGTTTCATTATAAAGTATAAAGGTCATGTTCATTAGATTGCTTAAAAATTATAAACTCGAAGTTCTTTATTGTGATCTTGCTAGATTATATTATAGGTATGTTTCTAATTAATCTTGTAGTAGTGCAATGCGTCATTTTTATGTTGGCAATATGTTGTCTTACATGCTTAACCTGTGTCAAAGATATTAATGAAGATATTGATTTTGAAAGGGGCATGTGCATTACAAACTAATGGGGTTTAACGCTTTAATTGCATAGAAAAAAAATGATAGAAGTGTTTATTGGGGATTGTAGGTTTATCTGTAATTAATGTTATGTTTTTTAAGTCTATTAGATTTATTAATCAATTTTTAAGAGTTTTTTGTAATTAAAAGTTATAATTTATTATAACTTATAAAAATAATTTAAATATTTGTACATAATTAGTTATAAGTTATAAAATATGTCAAATAAACAAGTTTAACAATTATTTAGCCAAAACAAGGAATATAATATATCAACAT